ACACACACACACACACACACACACACACACAGACAAACAGACACACGCACACACACACACAGACACACAGACAGACCGCCCTGCACTGCTGTGTTTCTGTGGGAAAAACAGATGTGTTAATTGCGGCTGAGGAAAGCAGTGGCGTTCCACTTATCCAGATGTGCTCCAACTGGGCTGGGAGATGAGCTGGCCAACTGACATGACATATAATGTACATCCACTCTCACACACTCACACAGTGAGGCATACACACTGTGTGTACCCAAGCATATAGACACAATGAAAGAGATGTACATTGGCACAAAAACACAACACGTGTGCATACACGGTCGGGAACACACACTGAGCACTGGACCCTGGCTGCCCTCCTGTTCTCCACAGATGTTTGTTTTGTCACTAACTCCTCAAACACACACATGCACACACTGGAGAACAAGAAGCACACACTTCTCCTGTCAGACAGTGTGACAGATAAATGCCTGAAGGAGCCGTCTCAAAGTATGAACATCTGAACATCTTTCAACTTCGCTGATATTTTTCACCAGTGTAACAAACCTGGTCATGTTTGTGTGTGTGTGCTCACTGTGGGCCTGAGCACAGGTTCTTATAATGATTTTGTGACTGCAGGATGTCAGCAGCTCAACAAATGACGCATGTGTTCCCTCGTCTTAATTTAGACCATTTTACAGGAAACGATTTTAAAATTTTGGAATGTTAAAAGGGAATCCATGACCGTTAATGCTCCGGTGGGAAACAAACACAACGGTTTGTCGCGCCAGACATATTAACATCAACAAATGGCCAGGCTCGATTTTTTTACTTTCCTTAATTGTGCCTAATTCAAAGATGCTGTTAGAATTTCAGGGTTGCAGATAGCAACATCTGGAGTTGTGTAATGTTCCTAATTCTTGTGAGGAACCTGTTTGAACGGCTAATAATGCAGCATGTGTACAAACAGAAAATCTGGCTGAAGGCCCGAGTTTCCAGCTCTGTTTCCACTGTCCACTCAGCTCTAAACAGGAGGAAGACCAGAATTAATATTTGCACATTATGACCGAGGGAGCTAAAACAAAGCAATGAATGATCTAAGGTCTGCTCTTCATTATAATAGCTTCTGTTTGTTAAGAAAGGGTCTTGAGCTCCACAATTAGTAATGAAAAATGTGGCCTTCCACCTCCTTTGTCCTCCAGCAGCTGGAGAAACCAGACGTTAAACCAGTTGGAGGGGTTGGCCATTATAAAGAATGTCTGCAGTGATAGGAAGAACTGTTATCTGGAAGTTTAGACAGTTTAACTGGCGAGCATCAGCACTGCGAAAACAACATGAATCGACTGTTTGAGACGCAGAAGAAAAGACATGTGGAGAGAATACGTTTCTTCATGTAGCGAAAAAAACAAAACACCTTCTATCACCGTTCACAATCTGTTCTCAGGTCAGATTGTGCTCCTCAGGTTTTCGCACAGAAAATGATGTAAAACAATTGTACAGGGATCGTAGTGAGGTTTCCCCAAAAAGGCCGGAGCTTTACAGCGTCCTCCAGACCTCCTACGATCCATAAGACCTCACACTTCTGCCAACACGTCTCACAAATCATCAAGCAGAAAGTCGACATGCGCAAGTGGGAAGCTGGCTCTGTATGTGTGTGTGCGGCAGAGCCCTCAAAAAGCAAAAGGCCTCTCCAGTGCGTCACTTAGTATTTCAAACGCCATCAATTTCCAGTTGAATAGTTTCCTGAGGAAATACTCATTCAAGTTCTGGCAGAGTGCCTCAGTCTGGTCTGTAGTTTTCCCAGAGACACGCTCACACACTCTGCTTTCTCCTTCACTTTCTCTGTGACATCCCATATTTTGACTTTAAGTTTGTCAGTGAGTTCTTCTAACGCAGCCGTGTGGATGAAAGTAATCAAATAACAGAGGAGGATTGTAATCAGTAAGATTTGAAAAAAATCAGGCAGTAAAGAATAATCAATACAAATACCTGCAAATAATAATAACAATCCCATCTCAATGGTGCTCATTGTTCCAGAACTCTGTGCAGAAATCAGAGACGAACTGAAAATAATAGAACAACACAAATCGATAATAAACAAATGTATTCCCTTTGTTTACAACATTTCCAGAGTGGACTTTCTCTTTGTCTAAACCGTATCCTGCAACAATACACATCTTCGACAGATGGAATCTCAACACAAAGCACTTTCGTTGAGTGCCAAAAAAAAACTTTTTTTTTTTTGAATTTTCCAATTTATTTACTGGCATAATGGTCATAATAATCACGGCATCAGGGAACAAACTATGCAGAAATTGTCGGAAAGAATCCTCAGGGCTCGTGGAGATAATTCCTAAAAGATGAGATGGAAGAATGTAATTATATTGATTAGGTCTTGAAAACGACAAAATAATCAACATAAAAAACCGGATGAAAGCGGTGATACAGGCTTTTGTAATAATAACAAACCTTTAATGGAAGAATGTCCGCCTGTCAAAAAAGGGAGCTCTCCAATTTATGATGATTATGAGATTTTACATGATGTGACACTGATAACTTCCATATTTACTCAAGACTAAATGTGAGGTTCTAGAGATATCAGGTAAATTACTTTCCAGGTACATCATGCACATGTGTTGGATTGGAAATTCATCATAAAATCCTTATTATTGTCCTTTTCTTCTTCAATCATACCATTATCTGTCTTTTCTTTTTCTTCTTCTGCAGGCGCACCAGGAGAGAAGGGACTTAGAGGAGAGGTGGGCACCACAGGAAAGATGGGACCTGCCGGAGACAATGGTAAGTTCTTGTTTCCATAGGTACTTTAATGTAATGTTTAAGTATACAAGTCTTTAAAGTAAAGTATACAGAAATCAAACAAGAGGGCGCATCCAGAGGAAAGCTTCCTCTAACTGCCAATCCTCAGCGTCCTGTTTAAAAAAAACATCTTTCCAAAAGAAAGAGAAGAGAAAAGATTTACAAACATCTATGAATATCGTGTGTACATTTCAGTTGCCAGGGACATGTAAAACAGTCTGTTCTTGTCAACAACAGGCTCGATAACTGTAAATAATGTAGCTGTGAGGTTCACAGCTTAAAGAAGAATTTAGTTTCCTGAACTCCCCGTCAGATTAAAATAAGTAGAATGTACAGTACCACAAAAATCATTAAATTCATTTGTCACTCAATTGCTCTGTATTTTTCATTTCCTCACTCCTCAACAACCTTTTTATGGAATAATCTACATCCTCAGATAGAGGACCGTGTAAACCTACGGTATGATGTCATCCACTTGCTTTGCACACGGTGGCCTGTTTCACTGCTTTTCTAGGCATTCACTTTTCTCACTGTTCATTACGTCTAATACGCTTACAGGAAAGGAGTGAGGTCACAGGTTTGGATTTTCCTTCATCCTGAGCGTCTGTAGCTCATAAAACAAATGTTTTCAGGCCAGAGTTGGCTTCTGCAGACTCACAAACTAAAATTAAATAAATAAATAAAGAGTAAAGGTGGCTACCTTTACTTTTTATTTATTTATTTAATCATGTTTAAGAATTACTCATATAAAACTTCCAGGTTGACTTGGTCAGGGTGTTCTAATTTTAATTTCATTCAAATCACATTCACACTCACACACACAGATCACACCGGTACAGTATGTCATTGTTGTGGTCCTTCCTCATATAACACCAGCCTTATTGTTGTTTGTACTGCAGCCACACTTCCCCAAAATGTGCAACTGCCAGTTGTGTTTATCTCCAAAGTTAAAGCACTTGAGTATACGTGCATATACAGTATTTGTTTATATCTGGATTCACTGAACTTACAGTTTATCCACAACTTCTGTGTTTTGAAAAATGCGTGAATAACGGAAGAATTAAATGTGAGTTACAACAGGTCAAACTTTGACCTGTGTGAGTCTGAACCTGTGTGCATCCGCTTTTAAACAGTTTTATATAAATGATGCTGCCATCTAGTGCTCATCATTTGTACCTACAACACCTAGATCGGTATTGACAGCAGTAGCACTCTATAAGCTGAATCATTGGTCGATGGTCAGTGATGGTGCTGCACTATTTATTTAAGATTTAATTACAGCTCACAAAAATTAACACCTAAGAACCCAGACCCATTTCTCATAAAAGAAAATGATAGGAGAATTGGAATGTACCACATGGACAACATTTCTGATTGGTTTTAATAAGTGTCAGAATTGTATATGTTATATTGAGCGTTTATAATAACTGCATTCATGTTTTATCATGATGTAATGATGTCATTATATTCTTATTAGGATGTTTTAATCATTAGGACTTTCTGTGATATCTGTAGGTGACCCAGGTGATACAGGTGTGGACGGGCCCACTGGTCTGAAAGGGAAACCAGGTGAGTAACCTGACAGTGCTCACACATGGTTGTTTTCAAGTTGGATGCAAGACTACTACCATTCTATTCCCCATGAACCAACATTTTAAATAAACATAAAGATAGGAAATGTTTCTGCTTCCCTGAAAATGTGAGTCTTGAATGTGGGTTTGAACCAATAAATATAGAGTCAGGAAAACAAATTTGAGTCAGTCAAAGCCAAAGTCACCTCAGACACTCTTTGGGGCACACCCTACTGCTACATTACACAGTCAGAATGATGTATTAGGGCAACAAGAGGTTTTTCAGTGTTTTGACTGTGCACTCAAGCTAACTCGATTTGAGATCAAATGCCGTCTGAGTGCTGATATTTAGCTTTAAGTGTGTTTGATGGTAAATCCAACTAAGGCACAAAGCCCAGAGATGAGCATGAAAACATGATGCCTGCAGCGCTGGCGTGGCAGAGCAGAGGTCTGTGGGTCAAAGACAACAGCCAGTCATTGACAGTGAAAAACATGTACAACTAAATATTAATTTATGGAAAAACTGGGCAGTTAGATATGAGAGGATGGTAAGTACCTATCCTGTTCATCTGTTGTGTAATTTCTAAACCACCTAATTCAAGTTGAGAGCCAGGATCTTACAGGATAGACAGAAGCACAATAAGAAATAATCATGTGTCCAACTCATCTGCATAAAGTGACGGTAGGTATGTGGCATTGTAAGTCCCTTATCATACAGCAGAAGTGAGTAAACGTGTGGTATGAGCTTTTAAATCCTGTTCTCACTGAAATCCCCTGCAGGCACCACATGTGACTGTGGCAGGTACAGGAAAGTGGTTGGACAGCTGGATGTCAACACGGGCAAACTGAGGAACGCTGTCAAGTTTTTGAAAAATGGTGAGTCCTTACTATCTACCGTTCATCATGTTTAGTGGCAGTAAGCACCTGAAAGGTATTACAGTAAAATATACATATACATACAATATAGTAGAGTTTCTGAGAGTCACACTCAAATTTGTGAATATCTTTTGTTTATATTGCACAGTCCTTTTTCTAGTGTTATAATATTATATAATATTTTTATATTCCTGCTTGCTCAATCACAGCACAGCAAATCTCTTGTATGTGTAAACCTTCTATGCTCTGAGAGCTTGTGTGTGAGTGTGTGTGCGCGTGCGTGTGCGTGCATATGCGTGCGTGCGTGTGCGTGTGTGGGATGGGCAGCGGATCAAACCACTGTGAGGCAAATGAGAGAGGGGTTAAATTTTTCAAAACTTAAAAAGGCATTTATGTTATATCTGTAATTAGCACAAGTGCATTTGATGCATAGTAATATTCTCCATAAAACTTCTAAAGCCATCTTTGCAATGATAATGAAGGGGACAACTCTGTTATTCCCAGGGCCCCCACCACCACCACCCCGTGAAGTCTGCCCCTGGATCAGAAATAAACTCAGTTGCAGCCAAAGGAACATTTCTTGTAAAAACACTCAGTTATCACAAGAAAAACAATGTTTTGATATTTTGCACTCAGTCTTCAACTGGGTTCCACATTTTATTCTCTTTGTATGTCCTAACATTATTGTTATTTTAAATATCTAAAAAAGTAAATAGTGAATAAATCTGTATTTTCAGGGCATTGTTTACTAGTTGTTGGTATTAGATCTTAAATCAACTGGGCAGGCGCTATTTCTTTAATTTACTTTGTTTGTAAGAATAATAATAACAATATTTAGTTTTTTAATGCGTCTGCTTACTCTTGGTGTCACTTGATGAACTTAAAACCTTTTCTTCATTTTTTTCCAGGATGGTGGAGTTGCTCATTTGTATTAATCATGTCCTGTCAGTGCCAGACGCTTGACACAGACCTGCTGTTGATCTATGTAAAGAAACAGTCAATGATGGTCGAAAACATGTACACATCTCCAACTAACCTGCCCTAACTCTCCTGTGCAGTCATCCTGGGGCTGAAGGAGACAGAGGAGAGGTACTACTTGCTGGTGAAGGAAGCCAAGAGGTTCAGAGAGGCATCGATGAACTGCAAGCTCAGAGGAGGCTCACTGGCCATGCCGAAAACCACAGACACCAACCGACTCATGGCAGACTACGTCAGTCACGCAGGTCTGACGAGAGTTTACATTGGTGTGCAGGCTCAAAGCAAGGACACAGTAAGTGATCCCCAGCACACACACACACACACACACACACACACACACAAGCTGATCTCAGACATGCACTGAACTCTGGAGATTCTCTGCACTTTCTCCAGAGGAAGTGCATGTGTGAAGGGTCTTTGTAGTCCTCCAGCTGAAGCTGCCAGAGGCTTCACACAGAAAGAAAACACAAGCTTCATCTTTACTGCTCCTCTTCCTCACACACACACTGGTGTGACATACTAGGCCCAATCCCATTCCACCCCTTCTCCCTACCCCTTGTCTTGCCCCTTGAAACAGAATATAAGCAGTCTTGTATTGTGTATGTATATACAGTATATTACAGTTTGTAACTTTTTTGAATAATTAATGAAGAAAGGTGATTCTGCATAAGACGACAGTGCTGCTGCTGCTGCTGCCACCATCTTAAAGGTCCAGTGTGTAGTTTAAGGTGAAAGGGATCTATTGGCAGATGTTTAATGTAGAATAATCCTCATGATGTTTTTACTCATTCATTTCATCTAAATTGTATGAATTGTAGTTTTCTTTACCCCAGAAAAAGCCCTTTATATTCAAATAAATACGGAGGCCGCCATGTTTTTCACTATAGTCCAGACTGAACAAACTAAACACCTTTTGAGTTTTTATGACAGCTGAAGGTTACCACAGGTTCTTTTTCATGTTTGGAAGGAGAGGGGGAGGTGAGGGGTGTTCAGCTGCAACATGCAACTTCAACGATAGATATCACAAAATTCTACACACTGTACCTTTAAATATAAAAGTTTTAATGCTCTTTTTAATGATGGAGTTAACCTGAGAAAACATGATCCTTTTCACCACTGTTTTCCTTTCTTTTGTAAAGACGGATTTGTATCTCAACGTTTTTCTTAAACCTGATAAATGATGACACAGTGTTTTTGAGATTGTTCCCTGTTTCTCTCTCTCTCCTCTCTCTATGTTTTTGTCATCAGAATGGAACGAGCAGTTATGTGTACGCAGACTCCAGCCCCTTGCAGGGGTTTGCAGCCTGGAGTCAAGATGTGGAGCTCAACTCCAGTTTATCTTCAACCACTAACTCCAGCTGTGTGGAGCTGCTCAGCACTGGAACATGGGGCCGTGTGGAGTGTGAGACCTCTATGTTTTTCATCTGCGAGTTCCCAAAGAGCAGGAGAAGAGGAGGAAGGACGGGGTGAGGAGGAGGAGGGACACCTGCCTCAACATTATCATGAGTTAATGTGACATTTAACCTTGCATATACCATGGCATCCAGTAGTCTGAGATCAATGTAACATGTATGAGTGTATGCGTGTATATGTATCTGCACATGTGTAGAACATTTATGTAGATATTTGCATGACATTTGTATGATAATTTGAGATCGACGGTTTTGCATAGAAACATCTGTTGATATCACATCGACACGGGCATCTGCTTTTATCACCACAAACTCTCTCGACGTCTTGTTCTGTGTCTTCTACGTCCACGGCTCCGCTTTTTATGCAGAGATGTTTGTTTTCTGTTTTTTTTTCACACATGAGCTCCTCCGGAGAGTCTGCAGACTTTATATGAGACTTTACAGACTGAGATCCTTTTAGTTTGAAAAGAGTGTTTTCAGAGCCTTAGTCCTTTGGGCCCATCTTAACCTGTACCTTTATCACTTGTTGGGCTTTGGTGGAGGTATGCACTCCACTGAGTGCCATTCATGGTTGTACCTGTTTTCTAATCAATAATAGTCATTCAAAGCAAAAGTAGATTGAACATTGAGCGATTTCAGAGATTTATTTCCAGCTGTGAGATAGAAGTGATCCACTGTTCCGCAAATGTGTCTCTAGAGAACAAGGATAAATGCGCACTCTCAAAACGTCCTTACCTATTTCCTTGATGATTTATTAAAAAAAATTCTACTGTAGCAGAGGTCTTATAAACAATGGCCTTGCATCATGCAAAAGGATACAGAGTCCTTTACAGGTTCTATTGATTCTGACTACGAGCCACCATAAACTGAACGAAGCCTGGTGCCCTTTCAGAGGTTATGTCAACATTGTTTCACATAAACTGACTCCTGGCTAAACATTAACTGTGACTCACATTGAAAAACTGCTCTCACCAACTCATGAAACAACATAAGTTCAACTCCCCCCTTTCATTAAAGAACTGCACCCCCCCCCCACACACATACACACACACACACACACACACACACACACACACACACCCCTACAAAATAACCCTCCATTACAACAGATCGCTGTTTCAGTGCAAACACAGTAAGTGCTCCTGAATCTGTTTTTTAGAAATCAGTTCTCTCTCTCTCTTCTCTGCAGGACCTTAAACTAATATTTACTTTTTAACTCTGCTCCTGCACCGTGAAGGTTAACCATTATACACACACACCATTGTTTCTCAGCCCTCGATTCTTTTCTTGCAGCAATCAATGACTCCAGCTATTTGATTTGCCCTCTCACTATAGTGCTCCTGAGCTGTGTTCTCTGCTGGTGGCCCCCACACACTTTGAGTGTTGCTGAATTCACTTACAATAAGTGCAAGATGAACACATGATTAATAGTGAATAGTAATAGTAATGACTGCAGAGTTATTTAAAAAAGAAAGACATGCAGGGTGTGGAGGGCGTATAGGAGGAACCGGTCTTCAGCCTTTCGTCATTACAAACACACCCTCAGGAGTTTTATGACATGCTTGATGAGGACGGCAGGGAGCTATGAGAAAAGCAAATGCTGATGGAAATGTATTAGCATGTAACCATTAAGAACTTGTCAATACATGAAGAAATGTATCTTGTTACCATAATGGATAGTTGGTGTTGTATGGTATTGTACTTTTTTCTCCTAATGAAGGTTGTGGTTTTTATAAATCTGAGGTAGATTAATAATGTGTGAAACCTCCTCACTGCACAATGCATAACTATTGTATCGATATTTTGAACCTTTGTTATATTGCTATTGATGGAAATTATCACTTTATCCCCCACCCAGATCTAGTATTGTACATTCCTGGCCTCTTCTTCCATTTTAAGCAGTAACCTGTACTCAGCGGCAGATCTAGAATTAGTTCTAAATTGGGGGCCATAACCGGGCCACAATTTAAAACAGAGGGGCCAAATATATGTCCATCATCCATGCACAATGCACCATGCACATTGTTTGTGTCAGAAAAGCTTAGACAATAAACACTCTCTACAAACTTATGTTTTTATCAGTATTGTTTGTAAGTAGCTATTTCATTAAGGACTACTGACAGGGCAATGGCACTAGGGGCCAAACAGATTTCAGCTGGGGACAGGTGCCTCTCTCTGGCTCCAGCCCTGGATCCACCCCTGCTTTTACTCATACATTATTTGAAATGACTCATCCCCTTTTTATTTTCTTCATCTTAACTACCTTCCACATGTATTTTTACTGTTTTATCTTAAAGAGTAAATAATCCAGCACATGGGTTCTTGTCTTTCAAAGAAAACCATTAACAACCTTCATTAAGTTGTAGTTTTATAACCAGATCGATTATTCGGCCCATGTTGACATTATGCCATTTTATCATGGATCTTGTGATGTGGGAGCTTCCCGGCGGTCCGTGAACGCAGCACAGGTTTTCCAGGGAGTGGCACCTGCACCTGTCCGACCTGTCTGCAGGAGCAGGAGGAGGAGGAGGAGGAGGAGGAGGAGGTGGATAGGGGACACATGACTCCGGAGGAATTTGCCTCTGCTGCTCCCGTCCTTTGTGTAACGGAGTGAGTTCAGCGTGGGAGACGGAGGGTGAGAGGCAGAGGAGAGGGGGGGACACACAGAGGAAGAGATGTCGGAACAACCAGCCGCCAACCCCGCTGCCACCTCGTTCCCTGCCCCGACTATCTCGCTCCCTCTGGGGCTAGAAGTACTGAGGACTTACTCCGGAGCTCTTGTCTGCTTAGAAATAGTGAGTATGTTGTTTTTTTGAACTCACATAGAACTGCATGTTGTCTTCATTCATTTATCTGTCGTCACTATGTCTCTATTATGGATTCATGGCCTTGTCCTGGTCGTGTCTGTTGTGTCATACACTGACTCTCAGGGTTTTGACTCTTAGATTAAAGGTTCAGTGTGTAGGATTTAGTGATATCTAATGTTGAAGTTGCATGTTGCAGCTGAACACCCCTCACCCTCTCCTTCCAAACACGAAAAAGAACCTCAGGTGAACTTCAGTTGTCATCAAACTCAAACGGTGTTTAGTTTGTTCAGTCTGGACTACTCTACAAAACATATCGGCCTCCGTAGAGAGGACCCCCTCGATGTATATATAAAGTATTTAAATATAAAGGGTGTTTTCTGGGGAAAAGAAAACTACAATTCACACAATTTAGATGAAACGAACTAGTGAAAACATCATGAGGATTATTCTGCATTAAATTTCTGCCAGTAGATCCCTTTCGCCTAAATATTACACTGGACCTTTAAATGTTGACAAAACACTGATGATCACTGGCTTCAGCAGAGTTCAGTGTTTATGTTTCACAACCAAAGCTACAGGCAAGTTTCACCTGACTTGTTGCCGTGTCTGTTCTCTCGGATCAGACGCCTGTCTGTGCCTGTAGGCCTTCACCATATCAATAATGACCTTAGCATCAAGCACAGTGAGGAGGTCTAGCACATAACTGCTCTACCTCACATTTGTGAAATGTGTTGAAGTGTTTCTGAATATCATAAAGAAGAGTCACAAACCACAACCTTCAATGAAAGGAAATAATAAAATGACATTTATCATGAGAATTATCAATATCGATTCATATGAAATGTTTTTATCTTAATGTCATTTTAAGCCATAACGTCCTGTCGAATGTGTTATGTGCCTCATCTCCCTGCAGGATATTGTCTTCCATTCATTACTTCTGGTATGACCATCAGCTTTATTGTCCTTTCAATACCTGCAAGGTGACTTCCACCATGTGCCAAGCTTAAGATTATTCAACTTAATATTAGAGGTCAACCGGTATGGGCTTTTGAGGGGTCAACTCGATATTAGGCAGTAAAACAATGTGCGATATTGATACACTGGCCGATATATATATATATACAAATTAAGTTTATATATATATATATTGTAATTTTTTCTCATGAGATGTTATCAAACGTTTGCAATCAATCCAGTATATAGTCTGTAGCGGCAGCTGCAACCCGGCGGCAATGGTTACAATGAAATCTTATGGGGCAACTGCAACAGTCCATGAAATGTCAATCGTTATTCTGGGTCTTTGCTAAGAGTCTGACAACGTAACAAATCTTGCTCAACGAGACAAGTCTCATTCTCAAGTTTCATGAGACCTGGGTTGTTGCAGAGGGACTGAGGTGGAAAGGGGAAAAATACTGGAATTGACCTTCAAACTGAGGGTATAGGAATCGGAATTGGAGGAGAATTGGAAGTTGTGTATCCCTGAGTACAATACAGTTTACCAGCACACATACCTTTGTCTTCTTATGTTTCATAAACCACGAACAAGCCTGAAACTATAGACCATGAACATGTTTTTGAAGATTAGAGCTGATTGTCAGTATATACTGTACAATAACACCTCATACTGCATCCGTCACCACTGAGAGTCTCTGTTTGTATCCCCAGTTATTCGGGAGTTTAGTATGGATCCTGGTGGCCTCCTCCAACGTGCCCGTGCCTCTGCTGCAGGGCTGGGTGATGTTCGTCTCTGTTACCACCTTCTTCCTTTCCTCCGCCTACCTCACGCTCCTCATCACCGGCCTGGCTGACCGCATCAACACCGACTGGAACTTCTTGGTGAGCTGTAGATAAAGGAGACGATCAGTTAGTCAATCTTTGCTATCTAATAAAAATTAAATAGATTTTATTGCTCCTTGATTTGAAAAATACCAAATTATACTATGCAATTTGAAAAAGTGGTAATCTCTCATGCCATAGAACACAAGACTGTAAACAGAGACTGAAAACAACATCTAAAATGCAAGAAGTTCAATAAGTAAAATCTAAGATGGCTGTCAGTGTTTGATACTGTTGTTATGGCAGCAGCTCTTGTTTGGTGAATGAACGTTAAAGATCTGTTTCAGGGGCAAAACTGCAAGTCAATCAATTCTAGTTCAACTTATGCCATCACCTGTCTACATACTAAACAGTGGCTGCTCCGTGGACGTTAGAGGACAGCTGGGTGATTTGTGTATTATTGTCAGCCATGAATATACAATAACAATTATATATTTATATATTACTCCTTTTAGTGCATTAAATATATTCGTGCATGTGAAGCTGTGGCATTTCCTCATACAAAAACTCTTATCAAAGCTTTAATCTAAAACCATCATACTGCTGGCGTCTTCTTTTTAAGATGTTCTGACTGATAAGTTCCAGTGTAGACCTCAGTGGTCTGAAGAACTCCTGCTTTACTTATAGTTTTTAACATCTTGAGAGCAACGTGCAACAAATATATATAGAAAATTCAAATTCTTTTTGCAATTGGAAAAGAGTCTGTTACCTTTTTAATGGGTTTCTCCACCATTTAAAAAAAACTGCATGTACCTGCTAATGTTGGTTTAAAAGAGATCTAATTTAGCCCAAAAGGAAACTAATTCCTACATGCGGGTAAATAATCACTTGCTATGCTAAAATGGCTGAAAACAATATTACATTACAGTCTTAGTATTGCTGTGCAGGGTATTTTCAAATTGTGCCAAAACTCTGATTAATAATATATGAACGAGATGAAAAGAACTTCAGAAGCTGTCCCTTGTTCTCTTGTTTATGTCATCGCCTGAGATGAGTCTGGCCTCTCAGACAGGACCGGTCCTGCCTCAGGCTCCAGGCCCTGCTCCCTGGAGAAACCAGGCGTGTGGGGTTGTTTGTTTTCGGCCCGAACAATGAGCGACATGGATGATGAGCTCACGCCAAGGCACAACAAAGGCCCGAGTGTAGTCCCGCCTGGCTCACAGAGACGCCGCACTAACCCTCACTGACCGCCTTTCCTCTCGGACACGCCCTCGTTCTCCTTCTCTCTCTACCTTTAAACCATTCACTCCATAACTTCAACCGTTTCACCGTCTGGTAGTTTTTCATCTTTTGTTGTATCTGCCTTGTTGTGCTTGACAGTTTATTGTAATGGTCCATTCTCTGTCACATAAACTGGTTTGGCTGCCATTGTCTGATAATTGCACTGTGGGATAAAATTCATTTCATTCTTGCTTCTCAAATTACAAAGTTTCACACACTTTGTCCTGAGGCTGAGAATTTAGATTTGAGATTTGCAGCCTTTGGATAGTCCGGCCCACGGAGAATTATGTGTTGAGATATAACAGTTTCTCAATAGATATTAGGAAAACTAGTGTAAACTCCCAGAAGATGGAAAGTAAAAGTGTAACTCCATCTTTCACTGTGTGTGTAGTTGTTTACACTTGACACATGAAAATTAACTTTTATTTTCTCTCTTCTGTTCCTCAGGATGTGTTTTACCATTTCTTAGCTCTGCTGTTCTACTTTGCCGCCTTCGTGTTGGAGGCAGCGACCACAGCAGCGAACGGAAGAGCCCAAGTCAACAGCACTGCAACTGGCTGGTGTTTTACTCATCCTCCAGGCAACATATTCACAGTCCTGAGTGAAACGCAGTACAGTATTAATGTGGCAGCCACGGTGAGTGCTGTACATCTTCTCCACTTAATGCATTTTAAGTCATGTTTTAGTGCACTTGATTTTTTACAAATGTTTTTGTTTTTGACTGATCTATCCCTCTTTCTTTTTCCAGATATTTGCATTCATAGTGACGCTATGCTACGGCTGCAGTATGGTGATGGGCTTCAAGAGGTGGATAGTGTAACCCGGAAAAAAATAACATAAACACATTTTACAAACGCTGCGTAACTTCAGCATAAAACATCACAACATCCACCCCAGACTCCAGAGAAAACACAGGTTTTAGTTGAGCACAAACTCGATAATTTCCTGATGGGAATCTCCTGTCAGCGAGCGATCACAGCGTCAAAGCTACACTGGGAAAGTGTAAAGGAAAAGAATTCTGCATCAGTCAAAATATCTGTCAAGATTTCTGGAAAATAATATTCCCGCAGATTCCAATCGTCTGAGGTTTGGTTTCAAGCTCTGTAGGTTGAGTCTGCTTTGAAAGTATTTTGAGAACAACTGGGAAAAGTAGTTGTTGTCCAGTTAGCACCAAATGATTTGTATTGCTCTGCTGCTAACAGGATGATTTCACTGCTTTGCCAGGAAAATCTATGTGGGAAGTTCGGGAACGTTCCGCATTTTGAGGCTCATACTGGGTCATTTTACGAGATGCAAGTGACGCCTCTGACAGTTATGGTTTTGTTTTCTTACCCGCTTTGTTAATCATACAGATATTGACCCATTTCCTGAGTCACATCTTCTCTGGAGGAAATATTTCCCATCGCCATGACCACAAAAACGCGTCTATGTTCTGTGTATGCAGCTGAAAAGATATGTACAACAACAACACATGATGGAGAAGACCCTGAAAGGCAAAGTGATCGTTTTTACTGTCCTCCAGTTACTTTGGTGCTAAAGAGCCGCAGACTCACTCTAGATTAAACACGTGGCCATTATTTAAACTGTGAGTTTACCCGATGTTTGAATTTCAAAGGTTTGATTACTTGTTAATAGCAATTTTTGTCAAATTTTTTCAGCATAAATATTTTTCACAATATTGTAACTATTGTGCTATTCAGTCAATTTACTGTCTGTCACTGTTAAAACCTTAATGAGTGCTGTCCTGTGTGTGACTCAGTGATGAATACAACTCGACCGAGGTCTGGATTAATTTGTTCTGATGAGTTTTACTAAAAACAAATAATCAAATCTTTAGCATTAATATAAATGCTTTTGTCACCTGCTATATTTCAAATAACAGTGATTGTGGATTTTTTAATATATATGCTTTAAGTAGTACGTTTTAAGTGTTTTATTGTATATGTATTGATACATCATTCAATTTTCCAAATCAATAACATTCTTAATTCCAACATGATTTGTTAGCTATATTTATTGTGGACATTTGTTAGCATTAGGCTATTCACATTTAATTAGTAATTAAAGCAGTTATAAAAGAAGAATATGTGATTTTGACAAGTGCAGTTTTTAATGCATTTGTAGAGCTGCAGAAATAAAGGTTTTTCAGAAAAGGAATTGTTGATTGAATTGTCTTTCACTGTATTTTTTTGATGCCACCACTAAGAGTCGCCAGAGTCAGGAATTTTCAAACCCCACAAACAGGGGCTTCATGAAAGCAAACACAAGTGTGCAGGGATGTCCCACAAAATTCAAAAACCAGGGTACAGATCCTGAATATAATACAATTCCACCAGCCCTGTGTGCTACTTTGCTACAACTACCTAGAATTCCTTTGGATTTCATAATTAATCATGTCAGCCCCTTGTTACTAAAAGCTCACTGTTTACTCCACAAATTTCCTTTGCACTTTTCAACTGTTGAGATCTTTCATTTGCTCAGTAAACCTCAGCCAACTGGTAATTTGGAGATTATTTTAGTAAACCTGGTGGGAACAGACAGAGTGAAGCCCAGTCTTGTTGTTTGTTTGTCTTGTTTCTTCTTCTTTGTCCTCTGTGGAGACTGGACTTCTAAACACAACCTCTTGCAGTTGCCTCCATAGCAGTTGTTTTCAACCTCAGGTTTTTCCAGCCTGAACCTCCCTCCAGAGAAGGTCCATTATACGTGTATCGAATCAGTTCAGTAACAACATTTGTGTTATCAGCATATTTATTTGCATATTAGTATGTGTTCTATCCACTGATAAGCTGAGGATACTACATCTTACAAATACTACAGTTTGCATTTTAAGTTGTCAGATAAATATGTATCTATACAGCATTACAACTACTGTGTGAATGAAATCCAATGTAGTAAGTGGGCCATCATCAATATGAAGACAGAATAATCATTTTTAATTAGTATCAGTGATAAAATACCATAAAATAAACTTTACATCAGACTTCAACACATTTTGTCTTTGCCATTACCAGAGTTATAGGAAAATACTCTTGACAGAAAGGCTGCTTGTACTATTCCATCCTATACATCTATAATCGCCGTCTCAGATATGATATTTGTAACACATGTTCCACACTAACATGCATTTGCTCCTGTAGTTATAATTTTCCAGTAAATGAAAGTATATCTCTGAATTTTCCATTTGTACTCCCTGCAGTGATTTTCATGTTGCAATTCCCATCTCGGCCACTAGATGTCTCCCGCTATCCACCTCTGCTCAACATGGTTGCATCAGTTTTCCGCATTTCTCTAATGTTTATACATAAATAACAAAACGTCAGCATCAACAAAACAAACTATTGTAATGATGATATCATAAAGTTGTGCTGACGTCATGTGACCTGAGGAGTCAGGGGAACTCAGGAATGTGAGTTTTGAAAGGTTTTTTTTCACTTTTCCACATTTTCAATAGTTTTTCTTCTAAAATGCAACAAAATGAAAAACACAGAGAAACTCGTGCACGCGCTTTACTTTGATTTATCACTGCTCACCTTCGCATCTGGCAACATCAGGAAATCAAGTAGAACACTGTCACACCGGAAGTACTAAAATAATACACTATTCTTTTTATATATATTTATGTAATCCCGAACAATGAGTATGAACTGTTCTCCATGTTTGATTTGTATTGCATTAAAGTAATGAAAACACGTACTTATAAAGTATTACAGCAGTCTGATGTTTTTGTTTGTATTCATAATGGTACGTCGATAACACTAACACTAACAACTCTGTGTTATTAACCTCAGGGAAGTTGAAGCTTCAATAACAAAAGTCTGTGTAAGATAATATTTTAGAAGGACTGGTCTATTCGGGATGTTTATAAAAACTTAGATAACCAGAAGTTTTATTTTGGTGGAACCCCCTAACCGGAAGTGTGTATTGGTGTCTGTAGCGGGTTGACGCGAGTGTCGGTGTGGATCCTGTGGAGCAGGCGGTGCAGCGGCAGTACCACTGTCGGTATTTACCTGTCAACACACAGAACAACGAAACCAGCCGAGCACCGGGGATTGTTTTGGTTCAGTTCCCAGCAGCTAAACGCGGGAGACTCCGGTTCCTCCTCACGGTGCAGCCATGGCTCTGACCCGGGCGGCGTGGAGCGGAGAGCGGGGTTTAAATTCCTCCTCTCGTCGCGTCTGTTGACTGGAAGTGAACGGAGCAGCGGAGCAGAACCGAGCTGGTGTTTCCCTCAGATACAGAAGTTGTTCTCCAGTGTCCGGACCGCACCACCCACCCCACACGGGTTACTACGCGTTTGTTCTTTTCTGTTCTTTCCTCCCGGGGTTAGTTTTTCTGAGCTTTTCCCGGAGGTGGCGAACTGAAGGCGGCTCACCGAGTCGGGACGGACCGCTGGAGCTGGTCCTGAAAATGGAGGCTGTGATCGAGAAGGAGTGCAGCGCGCTTGGAGGACTCTTCCAGACGGTCATCGCAGACATGAAAGTAAGACTAGTTAACTCTCTCCTGGTTTATTATACACGAGTCTCAACCAGCAGCTAACTACCCAGGCGAGTTATCCAGTTAACATGAGCCTGCTGTAGGTTTGTTCACCTCAACAAGAACCGCGTTAGTTAGCCTAACTTAGATTAACTTTAAATCTAGTCAGTCATTTAACTTGAACTTCGAAATGTAGATAAGAGCCACATTAACCTTTTTAATTTAGGTTTAAAAGTTGTTAAAATGCACTTAAGCTGAGTCAATTGAGGCTAATATTTCCTGTTTGTGTTAATAATAGCTAATATCGTGTCTCTGGTCCCTCTGCACAGTAACCTTGATGTGATCTCATTTTAGTTTTTAACAACTTTATTAACAAGCTTGTTTACGTGCACATATTGCAGGAAAAAAACATCTTAAGTGACAGGACAGGTAAATAATCATGTAATTAAATGAATTCTCGTTACAAACAAATGAGTTAATACATTGTCGTATTATTTGTTGTTGTAGTTGCTATTTTATCCCATTTGACTGCACCGTGCTCCGTTTTTACCCATAAACACATGCGTCACTTGCTCCAGTATGAAGAGGATGCTGCAGCCCGACCCTGGATAAAGTCTAAATAAGGGAAATCATCAGTCACAACAAGTGGGGTCGTCTTATTTTCTACTATTTTCTGACGGAGCTTGGCTGATGAGACAATTAGCAGATCTCCCAGCTGCCGGAGGAATCCAGGGAATGTAGCTGCCAGGGTAGAAAATTGCCAACAGGCTCTGAAGGCTTTGACATGTGCAGGGTCAAATGGCCAGCCATCAGGTCTCACTGGAGTCAGGAGGTTTGTTATGAATACTGCCCAGACAGTCAGCACTTCTCTCCAAGCCATGTCTCCTTTGACTGTGCTGTAGGTGGTTCACAGGGCCTGTCTCCCTATCTCTGAACTAGTCAGGTAACTATGCTGACAGAGGACACCAGGAAACACATGCAAATGCATAGTGTCATTTGCCTTGTCTTTACATAAGACATTCAAATTGTCATTGCTCTTTTGTAGATCATCGGCCAAAGTGCTAGAGTTTTGTTATCTGCACTGAAGCAAGCAGAGCAGGCAGGTGGATAGATAGATAGATAGATAGATAGATAGATAGATAGATAGATAGATAGATAGATAGATAGATAGTGAGCAGAGGCAAGAATGAGAGAGAAGGTAGTAGGCATTCAATTTAAGCTGCACCAGATTTCCCACACTTGTACATATCCATTCCCTAAATATGCCTGATTTTTTTCCCATCAAGATTCATATTATTCCTTAAGAAATCAATTTTATCCGTGTTAAAGAAATCATAAAATTAAATTCTTGGATTCATCCCCTGATCCAGAGCCTCATCAAAATTTAATGGGTTCTTCCCTGACTCATACTGCACCCTTCCCCCAAGTTTTGTGGTAATCCGTCAGACACAAACAAATGGCAGATGAAAACATAACCTTCTTGGTGGAGGTTGAAAAAGGAATAAAGGTGATGTAATGGAGACCCAGAAAGAGAGACTGTACGTAGGGAGATGGCTGTTGGGTGTAATGTTTGACAGCACTACATGACATTCCTCAGGCCCTCGACAGTAGTAGCACATCAGTGACAAACATGCTCATGCTATATTCATCTCTTTATTGTGTGTGGTCTTACTACAGTGTTAGCCTCCTCTTGTCGGTGCATTAGTCCACTTGTTCTTCGTGTCAGTTTTTGGATAAAAAAGCTCTTCCACTATTTTCAACCCAGGACCCAAATTAGGTAAATTTAGAGTCCCATTGGGAACTGGTCTCATTATACCATAGTATTAGTGCCCTTGTTGTGGAGGAATCTTTCTAAAAGAGGCCTGTGACCCATTTTACAACCTAACACATGCAGGACATGGTGGTGATGTTTTTTCCCCATTAATAGATAATATATTAATAGAATAAGTTCAACAAAGTAGAAAACCAGATTTTTGGAAACATTCTGGGATAATTTATGATCTTACTCTGTATTCAGAATTACTGTTAAAATCCTGCTGGACTAATTTTCATCCTGTATCGTAAATTCTGAGGTTCCCTCAGGTTCACTGGCTACAATATGGAAAAACGTATTTTGGAGGTTGGAGGGTTACATGTGTGGAGAAGTGTTAGGCTGCGTTTGCTCTGTTTAGCCCTGCAGATAAGGTGAGGCATCAGTATGGCCTCATGTTGGTTGAACTGTTGTGTAACAGTGAGAATACTGAAATCTGTCCTGATGATTGTGTCATTCTTGTTTTTCCCCACAGAGCAGCTATCCTATTTGGGAGGACTTTATCACCAAGGCTGGCAAACTGCAGTCGCAGCTCAGGTGAGAGTGTGTCTGTAAGCACGTACAACTCATTTCTATGTTTTTATTGATAACACAAATGACAATAATTACAATTTAAAAGAGGAGACATCAACATTTTGTCTTATTAATTTAGCTCTTTGGGGAAAGTTGATGAAAAATGCCATACTGTATTTCCAACATATTGTCACATGGCTTTTATATTTATTTCATAACAAAGCACCGCCTTCTTCTCCAATTGTTTTAATGGCACCTACCTCAAGTATAAGGCTACATCCATCCCATAATCTCCGTCCTCACATGTGTTTTAGCTCCATATGAGTCTTATTCTCACACCTGAAAACGCATATCAAGTGATCTTCCACGTCCACTGGGCATGTGCATGCCAGTGTAAAATGGAAGCAGATTGCCGACAACTGGCTGCAGTAGCTTACCTACCTTATACTACCGGCTAGGAACAACAATGGTGAAAAGTAAGACGAGGGACACTTAGTAGTGTGGACAGCAGCCATTAACACAGCAACAGGTGATATAGTAGTGGCGAAGTGCCACAAGCTATTAGTGTAATGCATGTAAATGTGGATTCATTTGTGAAAATGTTCACACAATTTTGATGTTAACATCACTACAGATACACACAAACTGTGGTGTAAAAAAGTATTTTGAGTATTAACGTGGCCAGAGAAATGTCACTGTGATTACATAACGTTCATGTTGACATCCTCATTCACTGAAAAATCTCATTCTCCTGGCTTTTATATAGTGGTGTCAAATGTTTTCCGGAGAAATGTTAAATGGCCACGTGTCCTGAGACTAATAAGCAATGATAGTTTACATAAAAGCCCAATGTCTTAATAATAGTCCCCAGAGTTCAATATCTGTCCTCCTCCCCCGTTTAGTCTTCTTTAAGCCTGATTTAATTTGTCTTTCCAGTGCTTTAAATTTGCACACCTCCTGCCAGAATTATTCCAAGTCTTATGCTAACAGTGGATGCCAATCCCAGCCACCTTTCCTAGTTGGTTTTAAGTGGCCATGTGTCATGAGACAAACAACTTATGACAGCTGAAATAAAAGCTCATTGTCCAGCAAGTACAGTAAATACGGATGTCCTGTGGTCTGAATTATTCTTTGATTAACTATGCATGGCAGTTCTCTAGCCATTTAAGTGTCCACGTGTCCACAGACAGACTAAGACTGACAGTTGTATAAAGGCTCTGAGATTTAGCAATACCTTCCAGGGGCCACTCAGTGTCCCCTTCTTCCATTTTCTCAGTATTAAGCCTGATTAATGTTGATATGTTATTCGTGTCCCCATCATTCTGGGGTTAAATATGTGACCTTGCCATGCTAAAGCTCAGGGGAGTATATGTGGCCTTGTTGCTAATGACTGGCTGTTTATCAGTAGGATGCCTGTGTGTCTGGACACCAGGGCAATGATGAAAGATCAAATGTACCGGTATTGTGCTGGTGAGCAGGTGAGTTGAACTTACAATGTCAGTGAGGTGTTTTTATCCAGTCATTGTAGGTTTGTGGCTGCTTGATGATGAAAATGCAGTGGAAACTTTGTCCTAAGTTTTAAGACTCAATTTGACATATTCATTGCCGTCTTTTACATGTATGACTCCTCTTTTTCATCCTGAGATATTTGTAGTCTTCCCATTGGGCGTCTGTCACATTTGAAATGTCATCAACATCTCACTGGAACTTTTCCTGCTGTATTCTCACATTGGCTCATTTGGACAAAAGTTCAGGGAAATGTTTGGAGCAAATGTCTGGGACATTTGCAATCTTTAAATACAACCCCTCCGGAATATTTCAGGAACATCTCTGTTGTTCAGTGCATGTCTGAAAGCAGCTTTATTCTATTATTCAAACTAATAAAATGATTGTCCCAGAAAAGATCAATTCCTTCCTCACAGATTGAGTTGAATGCCATTCATAGTAAGACAACCAATATTTAAGCATTACACTATGATTAAACTTGGCCTACGCCCTGCTCCAGGCTGTAGTGGTTGTGGCGTATGGCTCGCCGTAACGATGCCCTTGGTGCTGAAGCACTAATAAGTGTGGGCTTGCTTACGGTGACCTACAAATAAGACTTTTTGTCTGCTTTAAAGCTGCTCTCAAATGTGGCCAAACTAGCCCTTTTGACTGCAGCCTTACCCCCCACCCAACGACCTCTGTAATCTGGTTGAGAACTTGACTACATAGAGGGGTGCACACACACAGTAAAACACAAACACACCCACCTTTCCTCTCTGGCCTGGATAAGTGACTAGCCAGCAGTGGTAGCAGCATATGTCTGTTTGTGTAATGACGTCCTGAGGCCGACTACTCTGTAATTTAGCCCCTCTGCTCCCCTCTCACAAAGCAACTCGGAAATCAACCAATTACAGTGTTGGGGCAATTCAGTCATTTTTTCTTTTGGTCCAACTATGGTCTTCTGGTTTTAGAAAGCCATCACACACATGTTGTATACACTCTTAGACATGTATGCACACAGAAGAGCTTTGAAGCAAGTGGGCTGGGTGGAATATGGACTGGCTGATTTATAATCACAGTCCTCTTTTAACTTGTCAGTGTTTGGTCGGTTTGGTGGGTCATAGTTGATGCAGCTGTGCCAGAGCAGGACTTACTTACAGGCCTCCCTCCTCCTGGTTTCAAGTTTAGTTTGTGGAGAAAAAGACCACCCCAAAAACTTAAATTCAGCTGAGTAACTGTATGGTTACAAAAGTAATGTGTTCTCAGGAAGGAAGCCTATAGTATCAAGACACTAGAGTTACACCAGATTCATACAGATGGACTGGTTGATTTAAAGATGCTTTTACAAATCTCTACATTCAGAGTGCTATCTCATGAGTCATGAGTCTTGGTATGTGGCACCTGAAACAAGTGGAGTCAAACACAAACACTTTCTATGATTCACAGACTTACATTCTAGTTTCTGTTGACCTAAGAATAGAATGTATCATTGTCAGAAAGAGCACACTGCTCTTCTAGACAAGAGTCTATGGCTTGGCTCGGCTTGGCTGAGGCCTCAAGGAATAGATTTGTTTAAGTCCAGGACAGGGGCATTTTAAGATGGTAGCAGTCCAGTCATTGTTGAAGTACTGTGTCGTCCGCAAAACTTGTAGCAGCTATTAGCAGCGATGCCCTTTTCAAGCAGAAGTCTAAGACTTTCTGGCTGCTATCACATCTTAAAATAAAACATGAGAAGTTCCCAGATTCGCTGTCTCAAACATTTTTTTTCTCAAACAATTCTCCAAGGAGTGTAAGACTGTGATTCTTCCCTTTACGTTTAGTGTACTTGAAAGTAGTATGAATAAACCAGTTTAATATTTTAGCGTTTCTCTCGTAAAAGCATGGAACACATTACAGCAGAGGATCATTACTAGTAGTTGTAAACCACTGCTCACTGTACTCTAGTGCACTGGTGCCACTGATATTAAAAGCAGGCTTGGGTTCAAACCACTTCCATGCTAAAAACCTGTTTTAAATTAATGTGTTGAACTTGACTGAACAAGACTTTGCTGTGAGTACTTGTAAAGTATGATCCATGGACCAACGTGTACAAGTTATAAATTAGTGGAGGCAGATATCAGCCGGAGGTTCCTCTGGTGCCCACACTGGGCTGTAAATAGAAAGGAATCTGTGTGAGCCTGCGCGTATGTTTCTTTTTCCACTCGCAGGACACACCCAGGGATCTTCTGGTCAGCTCTGCAACAACACACCATTTACTAGCCAATACTACATTGAGTTTGATAATGGAAATGATTGTTGCATCACTGACTGGAAGCTAAGACTTGGAAAACGTTTTTTAATATAGAAGAATGTCAAGGCATTTAACTTAGTTTAGAAAACTGTAAATTGATGAAAAGGCTAACAACTTGAGAGTCTTGAGACAGTTGAGATAAAAAATATCTGTTTCCCACAGTTAATTAATTGAATCTATGGTGGTCGCAGGGGTGCACATGTACGCGCACAAACGTCACTCTTGTGTAGTAGCTTCAGAGTGACAGGTACACATAAGCATCTTCACAAATATGCACATTTTGTGGGTCAAAGCGCACCAAACTTGAACTCAACGCGAAGCCACGCCGTGGATTTGCTTTGCCACTTCACCCACGCTTGCATAGACTGGAAGTGAACAGGAGGCAAAGGTTCATGACTGCTACCTTCACATATGTGTGACCATGCAACATTCTGTATAATAAATTGGAAACACAAAAAAGAGCCCCCCATTGTATTTTGATGTCGGAGTTTGACATGTATTATCTGTTTACCTTGCATTTTAAGAATATCACCCCACTCAATACATTAATGGCACTATTACCGATATGTAACTTTTTTTTGCTTCAAGGTAAAACACACACTGTACACTCTACGTTAAAAACACTGTTGCTCCATCTGCAAGTCAAACTTGAGTCGCCCCCTTCCAATATTCAGCTCATGGTTTGCCCAGTTGTGAATAGTATCCGTCTTAAGTGTTTATGGAAATTCCCAGCTTGAGTATTGAAGATTTTCTCTTGGCCCATGGAAAATAACAGGTGTTTTCACATTAAGGTACTTGGAGTTAGAACAAACAACCTTTTGTGGCTCAACATGCCTCAGAAAATGTGCAGACAGTTGTGTTTCTTTGTCGCATTCACAACTGATAGATAGTCTTGTCTCTGCAGACGAGATCAGATATCACACACACGAACGTGCCCACACACACAGACACACACATACATACCAAGTGTCTTTCATCTCCATACCTGTGATCTGAAGAGGTGTGTTGTATCTAAAGTAGACACCACGCATTGTTTGCCAGTCAGCAATCCCCCCCTGGGACAGCCTGCCGCCAGCTAGAAAAAGTAGCTGGTCAGTCAGGAGGCCAGACAGGCAATCAGTTGGGATACCACTAAGATGGTGTCTGTGATGACTAAAACAGAAAGTAATCTTACACCTAGCTTCCATTTCTTTTTATGAGAGGACTGGATTTTGTCCTCTCTTCAGTTTCTTGTGTATGTGCAGTATTTTATACTGCCATTTTTCAAATACCTGGCAAACGTACAAGATGGTAGATAAGCAGGTATGAGCTGTAAATGTGCCACAGACCCAAGTTCCATTTTAGATCTGAACAAGGTAGATCCCACATCGATCATTTCATTGACCTGTAAAGTGTGAGTGTGGCAAACTCAGCTCAAGAGCTGCTCTGCTGAGCCGCACAGATTCCAACAGACTTGAAGTAATCACATAGACATTCCTCACACAGCAGGGCACACTCAAGTTTTCACAGACACACAGATTTGCAGTATACTTTCATACTTCCTTTTATTTTAATTTAACATGCACATACTGTTTGTGCATACATATGCAAGGTAGTTTTTAAAAAGGAAAACACCATTATGATGTTAATTTTAATCACTTTATATCTTTGTCTGCCAACATTGTATGTAATTATTGCAGTTGTTAAGCTAGTACCATATGTGTATCTGCGTGTGTCTCTGTCATAGGTTACTTTCAGGGACAAATTTCAGACCAAAAACCAGCCACTTGGGGAGAGTTTGTCCAAGTGTGGGCAAAAACTGTCTCCAATTGCAAATAGGCTAATTTTTGGGGCAGTGGTTTCAGTTGGGGACATATGATACTGTGTGTGCATTTATATATCCTTTGACTAACTAGTCCTGCTTCTTACATGAGTATTACACTGGGATCTTTGCCTCTGTTTGTGTCTGATCTATTTTTCTGTATTTCATATCTGTAAAGTCTGAAAAAAATGTCTTTTAATTTTTTTCAACTAAACCCCTTTCTTCATCTTATCTCCTAGAGCGACAGCAGTTGCTGTGGCTGCCTTCCTGGACGCCTTCCAGAAAGTGGCCGACCTTGCTACCAACTCACGAGGTAGGAACATGCAACCAGATGTATTAGTTGTCACAGTGTGCTGACAGGGTTGAACCAGTTAACTCAGTGTTTAACGGGGTGTGAGTCTGGGCACCTATATGTCAGTGTGTTTGTCTGTGTAGCTCTACCTTGCAAGTCCAGTCTTTCACCCCACCGTGCTGAGAAGCTCTGTGGGTTGTTTGCTTTATCGTATGGGTAGTAAATCCGTCAGTGTGCTGTTTGAAGCTCTGCTGCTGGCTTTGTCTTCGACCTCTACCCCTTTTTTCCTCTGCTTTCTGCTCCCCCACCCCCCACCTATACAGCACCTCTGCTACATCTGGGCTCTCCAGTAGTGTCTGCTTCAACTCTGTGTGTGTGTGAGAGAAGGGATGAGAGGGAGAGGGAGAGATTTCATCTCTCTCTAGCTTTGACACCTCCAGCCTTGCTCCATTCTATTAATAGGAACTGAGACAGACACACACATTCATCACCTCACTCACTGTAGAGACAAAGAGAGGGGGGCAGTGGAAGTGAGAAATGGGAGAGTGCAGGGAGTCATCATTCTCTCTCTCCTCTCCCTCTCTGTGTAACACACACATTATAAATGTTTGCAGTAGAGGAGTCAGATTCACTGAGCTGAAAAGAGTTGCGTCATCTTACATCACTTTCCCTCCCCATCCTTTTCTACATAACGTGTCTAAGGTAAACACTATCACATAACACCCTTATCGTTTCTGTGCTCCATGGCTCATGTTTCACTTCACAGCTGAGCTCTGCAGCAGACAGGGGAGCATGGGTAATGAGTTGTATGCAGGTAGGTAACATGTCCATCTGAAAATTGTACCAGGCTATTATAATGACTAGAGTTACAGACCATATTTTCATATGGTCCATTAATTGGCCCGTTTTATAGGTTTATACATTCATAAATGGTTATAAAATATCTATACCCCTGGTAGTGGCTGGTGAGGTACTATATAGTTACAACTTGGACAACTTCGTATGGCATTTTAATATTAATGTCTTCATCCTCTTATTTGTATAGTAACATGTTTTTAAATAATCAAATGAAAATGCTTTGAGTAGTTGATATTCCATTGGCCCTTGATTATTCTTTTCAGCGGCTCAAAGAACAATATAAACATTAGAGCTGCTGTTTAAATGGAAACTAGATCTCGCTGGAGTCCCTTCACGAACACTCTTGTAATGACAATCATCCTGCAGATCAGCTTGTATGACTTTTCCATAGATACTGGAGAGTTTTTGAATTGGATATGTTACCGAGAGCTCTGACAGATGACCAACATGTGTCAGGGGGAAATACTATTGATACTATAGTGAAGATATTATTAGTTTGTTAATTTAATTCAGCTAATTCACATGCTGAATTCATTTTAAAACAAGTTGAACACTTAAAGGTAGGAGAATAATAAAGTAAGCTGTCTTGTTTTAAATATATTTGTTAAATATCTTTTGTGGTGGCCATGGTTTGTTGAAGCTCAGAGCCTTGAAAAAACTGATTGAGTTTTAGGTCATTCCTCACAGCAGTCCATAAAATGTATGTGGGAAAGAGAACTTGATCTGCGCAGTATACTTCAGTGAGAGGTTATTTGCCACCAAACCAAACTGCCCTGTGTAAATCTACTGTATGTGGTAAAACTGTTGTTTTGCGCATGTATTGGACCTCTAGGAGTGCCCGGGGGTAGTCGTCTTTCTGAACATATCACCTTACTGTATTGTTCACCTACAAAGCAGAAGAGCAAAGAGAAAGCAATGTCTCTAAAGACATCACAGCCGGTGTGTGTCTGTGTGTATGTATGCTCGCTAGTAGTTTTGATGTTACAGAGAATCTGTGGTTTTCTGTGTAGACTGACAGACAAGTCATTTTCTTTTTGTTTGTTACAATTAGCCAGAGGCTGTTGAGGCCATATATACACACACAGTTGATGGTGACTTCTTCATACTTCATACTTTCTATCTCCCTCTGGCCCCTTGTTGTCCTGTGTGCCATCAAGTCCTAACGTGTTTCCTACAGTCATCACTATGGTAACTGCATTGAAATCTGTGTTTGTGTGTGTGAGGGCTAAAGTAAAAAGATAAACAACTGTTCTACTCACTACCACCGCAACATAAGCTGCTTTCAGACATGCACTGAAGTCTATTTTTCAGAAAATTTCCAGAGGGGCTGTAGGTGAAATCACAAATGTCCAAGAGCCGATACTGTTTTTATTTTGCTGTAAACAAAAACAGACATCTAATGTCCTGGCTCCTGCATGCTCTACCCAGACGTCAGTCCTCGCCTGAATGTTTGGAAACTGTTCCTGTTATTGTGAACGCGTGCGATCCGCACAATCTCCTGCTATGTTCTTCACATGTGAACGGCAAACTGCAGACAGACCCAATTTTCTGGACCTTTTCTCGAGTTCATGTCTGAGAACAGTAAAAAAATGATGTGCACACATGTAGGTAACCAGAGATTTGAGAGTGCACATTTTAAAGTTCATTTAGTCTCTTAATCATGACAATAAAACTTTGAGCCACCTTTGTCAATGGTTTTGCCGCTGTCACTTTGAAGATATTGACTGTGATGGTTGCTCATAAAGATTCAAACGTTTATCTATTTACTCAGAAGACTTTGATATTTGACGGCAATAATGCTCATAGGTGTTCAGATGAAAGTTACTCCTTTATCAGTGCTATCAGTAAAGCAGCATGATCAGAAGGGCATCCTTGTTCCATCCTTGATATTGGTCATATGAAAGTGTGTCACACGTGAATGCAGGGGACGATAACAGAGGCAAGACTGAAGCTATAATTTTAACATTAATGCAAGTGGTTTTTGAATTTGATCCACATCCATGTTGATTTATAATGAAATATGGCAATAATTGTTTCATGCAAATCCCACAGGGGATGGAAAACAAACAACCTTTTAGTGTAAATATGAGGAAATGCTCATCGCATGAGCTCATCATTGTGGTGTAGTAAAAATCCTTTTGGGCTGAGTTTTTGAAATGCCCCAGTGAAAGACTGTTGCTTCTTATAGTTGTCAATTGTTGCATGCTGTTTGTGTATGTGCATTTTGTTTAAGGGGTTTATTCTGACTGATTTATGAGAACCACATGGTTTTAACATAGAAGAGAAATCAGGAAAAATCTGAGACCCTGCTCGAGTGTTTTTCAATACTCGGACTAGGTTGCAGGCATACAGTTAATGCTAGGGAAGAAACGAGGATTAAGATGTAATAATTAGTGTGTACTACTATAGTAAACTCACAATGAGAGATGTGCATATCCTCCTTTTTTTTGTTGAGTTCCAGCTTATTAGTTTACAGTTGAGTGAAATTAAATAACTGGAATGCCAAGTGGGGAACGTTTGAATAAAAGAAAGAAAAGTAGACTTATGCTTCCAAAATAAAAGCCCTTTTCTGCCTTTGTTGCGCTCTATTATTCTGGCTCCATTGAAGTTGACAGTGAACACATACTCAGCAAAGACTGGATCTGCTTTCCTTAATAGAATAAAATACATATACACGTTCATATTTATGATGTACAAACAACTGCTCGTAAACACGCTCGTATCAGATTACACACCCTCTTATGCATCCAAATGTTTTTACACAAACACACACACACACCCACACACACACACAC